GAAAACAATATGAAAATAGATGTCCTTTATTCTCCTTGCGCATCTCTTAGTAGTCATGCCTCTCTAATGGCCTCTATGTTTCTCTCTTCTTCTTTTCTCTTCCATCATTGCCAGTCTCTTCCCTCTCCTGGTGTAGAATCCCTGGGACAGGATGGTAAGAAATAATCAGAGTCTCGAGGCTAGAGGAAATAATAATGTGAATAGTGGGCAGTGATGTTTAGCATCAACTCCTGTGGGTACATGGCTGGAAATGGTGAGGATTTGGTATGGGGCAGGAACATTAGTCAGGGGACACTCTGTATTATACCTTATCCAAATTCTATCATAACATTTAGCATTTGTCATTTTTGTCTGCATGTCATTATAGGCAATACACTTCAAGTTCGAGGGATGACAGGAATTCCGCTCATGTTTGAGACTACATGTGAGTACATACCATTGATTTCCCATGGCCCCTAAATAAATCCATTGACTGCCCCCATTCCAAATGTCTGTTTGCAGATTTGACCCCACTCCGAAATAGGGACAGAAGGATCTGGAGATACCTTGCCTATACAGGTTGCTTAGAACTCTAAATTAGGGATATCCCTTTGAGTTTGTCACTTTTTCCATTGTATGTACCTTTTCAGCCTTTCCTGTATCTACTGTCACTTTGCTTTACACAATGACTCACTGGAATTAAGCTTATTAGGGAAAGCTGGTGTCTTAGTCTGTTTGTGCTGCTATAACAAAATACCACAGACTGGGTAATTTATAAACAATAGAAATTTATTTCTTACAGTTCTGGAGGCTGGTAAGTTCAAAATCAAGGCACTGGCAGGTCTGGCATGTCTCTGCTTTCAAGATGTAGCCTTGTTTTTATGTCCTCTGGAAGGGATAAATACTGATTCCTCATATGCCAAAAGAGACAGAAGAGACTGAACCCACTCTCTCAAGCCCTTTTATAAGGGCACTCACTGCATTCATGAAGCTCTGCCCTCATGACTTAATCACCTCCTAATGACCCCCGCCTCTTAATACTATCACATTGGTTAGTAAGTTCCAATACATGAATTTTGGGAGACATTCTGACCATAGCCACTGGAAAGCAATTTTAGGGAAGTGCACTCTTTTTTCAAAGGTTCAAAGTTAAATCCTTGTACATTGACTCTCCATTCTCCAGCTTTTCAATGCTACAGTTTTGAGCAAACCAAGCCAACATTGGAGGAGATATAAGGTATTAGGAAGCTCTCTTGTAAACCTAACCATCTGCACAACTGAGCATGTCCTGATGAAATGCTTACATTACCCACCTCCCACTGGGGTTTTATATAGTGTTAACAAAAGAAGGTAGCCCTGGGTCACAATAAATCATGATGATTCAAGGCCCTGGTACTCTGAGCCTATAATAGGGGAGGTGGCCTTGGAATATCTCAGAAATGCCTTTGGGGTTATATCTAGGGAGAAGGTCTTGGTCACTTGAACTTTGTATTTCAGGAGGAAGAAAAATTCTTATTCCTCCAGTCTATTCATTCATTTCTTCATTTGCTTATTTATGCAGCACCTCCCTGTGAGAGGTACTGTGATAGGTGCTGGGGATACAGGGTGAAAGATGTGGTACTTGTTCTCAAAGTCCATGAAAGTAAATGACCCTTCTGATTGTGGTGATGACCTAGGCTGCAGGTTGGCAAATTTTATCTGCAAAGGGACACATAGTAAATATTTCATTTTTCATGTGCTATAAGGTCACTGTTGCAACTACTCAACTCTGCTGTTGTTGAGCAAAAGCAGCCATAGATAATTATAGACAAATGGATGTGGCTGCATTCCAATAAAACTTTATTCATGGACATGGAAATGTGAATTTCATATAATTTTCATGCATCATGTAATATTATTCTTTTGGTTTTTTTCTAAGCATTTACAAATGTAGCAACCATTCTTAGCTTGCAGGCTGTACAAAAACAGGCAATGGGCCATATTTAGTTGTCAAGCCATAGACTGACAGCCCATGACCTAGGATGTGGTCACTGTTATGGTCTGAATGTGTCCTTCAAATTTCATGTGTTGGAGACTCAATCCCCATATTCATATGTTGCTAATATTTGGAGGTGCGGCCATTGGGAGGTAATTAGGATTAGGTAAGGTCATCTGGGTAGGCCCCCCTTAATGAAACTGGTAGCTTTATAAGAAGAGGAAGAGAGACCTGAGCTGACATGCTCTTGCCCTTTCTCTAGGTGATACCCTGTGCCAAGTTATGACTCAGCAAGAAGACCCTCACAAGATGCAGCCCCTGGACCTTGGACTTCTCAGCCTCCAGACTGTAAGAAATAGATTTCTTTCCTTTATAAGTTTCCTAGCCTGTGGTATTCTGTTACAGCAACAGAAAACAACTAAGACAGTCACCGGGGGTTTAAATCTGTGATTCCTCAGTGCAGCAATTCTTTACCCAATGTGGAAATGCAAGCAACGCTGTAGGTGTAACCCTTGTCTTTCCTCCCCTTCTACTTCTCTCAGTCTCCTGACCCAAACTCCCACTCCATAGGTCTTTCTACAAAACAAGATCTTTTTATAAATTTATGATACTACTGGGGACATCTGGGAACGTTTTTTCCTATGAGAAAATGAAAATGACTCCAGTGACTATTTGGTCTTAAAACAGTTTTAGTTTTTTTTCTTTTCCCTTTCCCTAGCTCCATTCTAGAAATTAACATAAAAATTCATTCTGGCTAAATTCCCAATACATTTTCACAGTGAGCATTTTCTGAAGTGAAAATTAGTGGCTTCCTTGCAGTTTTCTTCAGGAATGTGAAATGGTGCAGCTCACAGGGGTGGAGGACTCAAGCCCCATTTATGATTTAATACATGCTGTTGAGGGTACCTCACTGTCTGCAGAGTGCCTGGGAATCTCTTCTATGAATCCTGAGTATCTAAATAGTATATTTTATTTCCCTTTCTTATTCTACCAGTGAGAGAATACCATTTTCTATTTGCAAAAATGAATTAACATGTAATAACTAGTACCCATATAAGATTATCTTATTTACGCCGTCCTTTGGGATAGACAGCACCTGTGGCAAATTATGTCTCTTTCTAATCCCTCCCCACCTGGCATTTTTATCCAGGTACAATCTAGTTACAATGAGCATTAAGGGCAACCTCATGTGGGAACCACAGTTAGCGGGAATATACATATGGGGGAGGGGGAAGAGACGATCTCTGCCCCCGTTTAGCTCTTTAGCCGTTTGGTCCCCAAAGCAACCTTGAATACTTCGGTCTCATGATCTGAGCTATTGAGCTGGCACTCTAATTGGCTCTGGTCTCTCAGGTCCGAAATTCTAAAGGTATAGAAAATTTGGCTTCTGCAGTAATTTATAGGGGAAGTGAGAAAGGCATCAAGTTGTAATTGTTAAAAACACTTGTGGGATGACATCAGACTGATCTGGATTTGAATCATAGTTTTTCCACTTAGGAGCCATGTCAGGCAAGATAAATAACTTCTTTATGTCTTAGTTTGGATAGCTATGAAATAGAGAAGGAAATTCATCTCATAAAGTAGAGATGAGGATTAAATGAGATAATGAACAGTTAGTAAGTGCTCAATAAAAAGCTGAGGAGAGCATTTAGTATGTACTCAATAAAAATGCTACCACTTAGAGGAGATTTCTCTTTCTTTTTTCCTTCATTTATGCTCCAAACATTTGTTAAATTGTGGCTTGCTTCTGAGAATATGGAAAAATAAAATAGATGTATAAATGAAATAGAGGAGCTCACATTCAAGTAGAAAAAGCATCCACGTACACTAGTAAGTGCAGCACAGTGGGTTGAGTACAAAACAGAGGCAGGTCCAGGCAGAGTGGGCCCCCAGAGGCCAGTGTCATCAGCACACTTGAGATTGTCAAAGAAGGCAGTGTTCAAGTTAACTGTTGAAGGATGAATAGAAGTTTTTCAGGTAGCCAAGGGCAAACATATGTTCCCATTAGAGGGATAATGTAAGTATTTGTTTTTTCTAGGGTTTAAGGCAGTGAAGGTGGAGAAAGTGTCACAGAGAGTCTGAAGAAGGATGAGGGCGCTGGATGATGAAGGGCCTTGACCATCAGGCTAAGGAGATTGGACTCCGTCATGTCAGTGGATCTTTATGATATGTGGAAAAGCAGAATGACATTAAAGAGGTGATGCCCTTCCCACCTCTGAGTGTGACTGAGCCTGAATAGAGATCCATAGACAGCTCAGTCACCACTGCTGTGTCCAGCCCTTCCCTTGCATGCCAGGAATGCCAGGCCAGAGATTAAGTCACCTAAGCAAGAAATCTGACTAAGAACAGGATTAGGAATAGGTTATCTTAATAGGTTATCTTAAACTTCCTCCACACCAAGGCCCTCATTTAAATTCAGGCTTCTTCATCTAAGCCCTGCATTCCGTGTACTGGATTCCAGTACAAGTACTCTTCTCCTGTGCTCTGCAGAGAGAGCACATCTCTCCCACCTTCTGAGAGCCAGCGCTGTCGGCCCTGCCTGCTGGAAGTGGGGACCTCGGCTAGGAGCAAGGTCGGGGATTTTCGAAGGGGAGATGAGTCTATTGCAATGCCTTGCAGATGCAGAAACAAATTAAAAACTCCAAGCAGATTGAGAAAGGAGATTTCTCTTTTCCCCTTGAACTTGCAATCTAGGGTCTGTTTTATGACTGGAAACCACCGCATCGCGCCGTGGCTGCTCCCAGTCCCTGTTACCCGCAGCCACCACCCATTCCTTCCTTCCCCAGGGCCTAGCGGGAAGCAAGCCAGGCAAAACGTCTGTGTGTGTGTGTGTGTGCGCGCGCGCGCGTTTGTGTTTTCAGATGACTGGTACCTGGGGAACCTGCACCCCAGGGCAACAGAGCAGGGGCCAGGCCTGGGTCTCCCCCCCTATCGGGCCCAGAAACAGGGGTGGAAGCTGGTTTTACTTCCAGCTTCCCCAGGCTGGGTTGCAGCAGCGCCTCGGCTCCTCCAGACCCTCTGCGCTCGCCTTCCCTCCTCCCTTAGCAACCGGGAGGCTGTGGATACCGCCAGCGGGTGGGGGCCCGGGAGGCTGCGGGGAGCCCGGGCGCCAAGTGGCGGCGGCGGCCCAGCCCAGGTGCCGGGCGCACCGGCGACCGCAGTAGGAAGCCACCCCGCGAGCGCGACTGTCGCAGCGCCAGCGCGCGCGGGGCCCCACGCACCCACTCTCTGCACCTGCCGCGGGGTCTAAAAGGGATTCTACAAAAATGAGCCATTCTCACCCCGCTGGGTAAGTGACAACTGGAGCTTTTCCACGCTGCGGCAGGTGGCGGCTTCAGCCAGCCGCCCCTCCTCCTCCCTCCTGCTGCGAAGGGAAGGGGCGAGAGGGAGAGAGAGAGGGAGGGCTGGGCGAGGAAAAAAATAATAGGAATTCTGGGTTGCAGCGAGGATGGCAGAAATCCCAGGCGTCATATCTCCTCCCTCCCCTTCCTCGCTTCTTTCACTGACGTTCGCCCCTTTTGAAATTTTCACCCTGGAAGGATTAAAAAATGGATGAGAAAAATGCATACATTAAGCAGGGACGTTAGCTGGGATCAAGAAGATCCTGTGTGGAACATATGTGTTTAAATGCAAAAGTAGAGGTTACCAAAATATGCATTCATTTGGAGATTTGAGACTGAGAGATAAATTCTCACCATAACTGTAGGCTCACGTATAAAGGAGGTGTGAGTTGATTCAATGTTGAGGGAGGTTTTACTGGGGGTGGGGATAGGCATATTTTAGGGTTTTTATCTACCCAATCTCGAAGGAATCATAGGAGTCTTTTAAAAGTATTTTGACCAAGGAAGGTGGTATGACACAGGAAAGGAAAGAGAGAGGAAGGACTTGTGTGCCTCTGTTTACCTGTGTCTTCCCTTGCTTTGGTTAGGGGAACTCTTCAGAAGACCTATTTGGCAATATTCAATCTATTCTAGAAAGTTAGCACCATCATTATTGGGTGTTGCAAAAAAAAATGGTCTCTGTTCTTTTATTGGAAAGGAGAATATCCAATTTTCTTTTGAATTAAACAATGTAATATATATTAGATGGTTTTTTATTATGATACATCTAGTAAGAAGATAAATATCCTAGTTGATCTTGCACTAATTTGAAGATGCCTTCCTTTTTAATTGCATTTATTGCACATTTTCAAGAGCAGCAAATTAGCAGTGGACAACATATTTAAGATCATTTGGAGTTTGTGATGTCTGAAATACCACATTAGTCTTTGTGCTTGGAATTTATACTCAAATTTGAAGATTTTACTTTTTAATGAAATCTCTTTTAAGTGTAATGACATAAACAAAAATGTTTGAAAAACCTAAAGCCATATAGGGTGCCATATTGGAAGTCAGTTTCAGAACTTTTTGGAAAGTGGTGTAGCTATACCTAAAGGAGCTTCTTATTTTATTTCAAATTGAATTTAGTTTAGGTACTTTAACGTTTTAATGCTCAATTCCTGTGCAATTTTAGTTAGCTGTGGGTTACGTTGAGATGTAAATAGCACTATTTTTCTGCAGCTGCTGTTTGCAGTATGTCTGCATTCGAGAAAATGAATGTGTCAGTCATGGTTGTCTTCCTATGTTTTTCAAGTTTTTGGCTAAGTTAGAATCTGATTAGACCATTTAATCATCTATTTTAAAATGTGGAAAAACCTGTAGCTGCTTATTAAATCGTGCATGATTAAGATTTCAGAAACTGAACTCAAATTTTTCTGAAGCTCCATTAGTTCCAAGCACATGGGGAAAAAGGGAAATTTATGATTTAATGAAAGAGTATGCTTTATGGTACTCATTAAGAAAGGTATTAAGATGGAAAAAAATATTTTTTACCTTAATGGCAAGTTCCTGGACAGCAGGCACCATATCTTATTGATCTTTGGGCCCCCTTCATCTAAGAAAGTGTTCAGAATAAAGCAAAACTCAACAAGTATTTGTTGAATGAATGGCATTGCCTGAAGGTGCATCCAGTCTAGAGATGCATGTAGTCACAGATGAAAACCATGTTAAAACCAAACATTCATTAAGTGCTTTCCATGTGCCAGGCTCTACTCTGTTTTACCTGTGATACCTTATTGAATCTTCCCACTCACTCCATGAGGCAGGTTTTAGTCATCCTAATTTTCACAGGTAAAGAAACTGAGGACTAAGTTTCCAAAGGTGGCATAGCTAGGAAGGGTCAGGGCAGGAACACAAAGCCAGGCAGTCCAGCTTCAGAGCCTGTGCCCTTCACCATCACCTCACGTTGCCTTACGTGGTTAACAACTGAGATGTGCAGGAACCTAAATATGTAGAAATTTTTATTCGGATTAGACCAACATCCGACAGTGAATAGCTGTATGTAACTATATAGCATTCTAATATATGATTAGAGAATAATTTTGTGATAGTTTGTATATGTATATATTTTTTGGTTTATTTCATCAAAATAAATGAAAACAATAAGCATAAATATAACAAATCTAAATGCCTTAAAATTTACCCAAGAACAAAATTATTTAAGTTGTTAAAGTTTTCCCTCAAATAAAAGTAGTGATTATTTTTCTTGCTCATGTTACCATTTGGAAATAATAAAAGTTTCAGTAGCAAATAAAAGTTTTCATTAAAGCCGAGAAGGCATTTTCATCATTATTGAAGCAGTTTGTACTTACTACATTTTAAGGACAAAACAGTAATAAAATGCAGTTGTACACTAAGACAGAAATTTTAAATCTCTAAAATTTCACCAATCAATAAGTGATGTCCTGATGCTTTCTCTTGGTGCTTTCTTTGAGTTCTACTGCTTACTTAATTACGGCATGAAGCACTTGATGTAAAATTTGCAAAGGGCCTGTGCTGCCTTTGTTCAGATACAATTTGGAGTAAATAAAAATGGTCTTAAAAACTTCTGCCAAAGATAATAGAGACTTTGAATACGCGCTGCATGGTAATTTGGTGGAAGTCAACTATAAAATGCCATTTCCGGCGTTGCCATCTCTAATGAAATTGTTTTAGAGTGGAAAATTTCAACTGATAGTCCCTTTAGTTTGCTAATCTTACCCGAGTTGCTGTTTGTGTATGTTTGTGGGTTGTGCACTAGTCTTAGAGGTGAAATGGGGATTTTATACCTCTCAGTCATGCATGAGGATAAAATGATATGGCTCCTCTGGCTCCTTCAAAGGATCATCACTGAATCCGTGTGAAGTTGCTCCTTGGGTGAAAGATACACTGAACTCTTAAGTAGAGATAGTCACACTCATCTGTAAATTTCCTTTGAGGAAGAATGAAATGCATTTTAGTTCGTGACAAAAAAATGGAGAAGATATATGTTTTGAAAGATTGTTCAAAGGTTTAGAAGCATTTTTTTTGTTCGTTTAGGCATTGAGTTAGTTTACATCTTTTTAATGCAAAGATGTGAGTACAGTGAAGTGTGGGAAAGAATTAACACAGAGTTAGTCCTACCTGATAACTCACTCAATCCTTTTTCATCAAAGGTAGAGTAAAAAATACTAAGATTGTCAGTTTTTAGATAGGATGTATATCCAAAAGTGACAAAAACTATAAACCCACCATTTTATTTACTACAGGAGTGTCCATTGCACTCGTGAGTAGCGTTCATTGTCTTTGCCTTCTCAATTGACAGTGTGGTGCTTCGGATGGCTACAGTAGCATCCTAGTCCATTTGTTGCCCACTCCCAACCACCAGAATTCTCTCCTGCACACAGAATTTCTGGTTTGAAGTCACTAACTATTTAAATTCAAATTTGGTAGTTTCTGTTCATCCTCCTGTTAAATATTAAATTAACTTTAAGGATTAAATTGATTATGCTTAAATGAGGTGAATCGAACAGGCTATTTGTCATGGCTTCCTCTCTGATCATTTTGTTTTATAGCTTCTGCCCTTTTTTTTATATATAGATGCCATTTCTTCTCTCATCCCTTTAATAAACCTGTTCACCTAAGTAGATGGGAATAGAAGCGATTTGTTATTTGTTATGAATTCTCTTAATTCCTTCGGAGTTATAAGCCAAAAATCACACAGTTGATCTATCACTAAAAAACTATTTTCGATGATCTTTCAAATGACAACTCAATTAGGTTTTCTTTCAGTTGCATAGAAAGCCACGAATTAGTAACTCCAATATTTGACTTGCAATCAGATTTGTTGCCCAGTCAGGAAATCTATTTAAATCTATTTGTTGTATCAACATCTACGCGATACTTTAAATTGTCCCTTTGTTTGTCAGATGTTTTTCTAAGTTCTGTGTACACTAATAAGACACCAGATGAGAAGTGTGGCTTTCTTTGTTAAAAAAAGAAAGGGGAGGTGGAAATAAGCATGAACCCAAGTGCATTTTCAGGAAGATCACTTTTAGGAGAGGACAGAGGAAACTTGAGGAATAGAAATTAATTTCCTTAGAACTATCCTTGCTAAAGCTCCCCCCCCCGAAAAAAGTCTTTGGGTATCTCCAGGTGTGTGCATGTCCCAGTTTAGAGAGCAGGGTACTATCACAGGTGGTCTACTGTAGCATTCCACTTCCTTTCTCAGTCTCTGCTGAGACAAAATATCTCTAATGGAGAGGAGAGGTGAAGACTTCCCCAACTTATTTTGATTATAGTAACTACCTAAAAGTTTTTCAGGGAGATGGCAAAATAAAACTTCTCTGACTCAATTCTCAATTCTAAAATCAGCCCCAAATAATTTGAATTTGATGAACCATTTATGTATTTTTGAGACTTTAAATTTCCAGCAATATAATTTTCAATGAAAACGTCAGCCTCTGGAGGACACCATTGAAATAATCTTTTAACCTTTAGTTATTCAATTGGTACAGATCAAGAGAAACTGTATGCAGACTGAGGGCAGTGGATGTTCCCCTCCAAAGACGTACTTCCCCACACAAACAGTTGAGAATAGTGTATGCTACGGAATGAGTCCTTACATATCCATCAGTTTAAAATGAAACTGTCAAATTAGATGGGAATAATATTTTCAAAAAAGAAAAAAAAAATCTAAGATTTAACATTCATATTGGCTTGCAAGCGTCTTTGTCACCTTTCCCTAAACTGGAAATCTCAAATGATATATTAATTGTATGATTTATAAAAAAAAAAGAAAAGATAGAGGACAATCAACTGAGTAATACTCAAAGTAAAATCTTTGGCACTACAAAAACAGTGAACAGATACGCATTTATGCTTTCGATTAAAGTAAACAACTTAAGGTAAATGTGTATATACATATATAGTTATCTCACTAATTTAATTTTTT